ATATTCCGGGGGGAGGGAGCAGGAGGAGGGAGCAGGAGGAGGAGGAGGAGGAGGTCCATGAAATGGCGAAACGTCGGACAACGTACCGAGAGGGGCAGGGGGGAGGATGAGGGGGACGGGGGAGGAAGGGAAGGACCATGACGTGGGACTCATGCCGAAGACGTCCGCACATCACCACCCACCAAACCACCCCAACCCAACCCGAAGGTCTCAATTTGCCCTCCATTTCCAGTGGGGGGGGGGTCGGGGAACATTGAGAAAACACGCACGGAACCCGACCCCCCCCCCAGCCCGAAATTCGGGTCTTCGGGTTGGGTTGGGGTGGTCTGGTAGGTAGTCAACAGCGTCCCAGAGGGAACGAGGGAGGAGGAAGAGGAGGAGGAGGGAGGAATATGGGGTCCAACGGATGCCGAACATATGCCTGCAATCTTCACGACGGAGGGGGGAGGGAGGACGCGTAAGAGGGGTGACGATGAGGTCCCACGTATGCCGCGCAAGTCCCAGAGAAACTGCTCGAGGGAGGGAAGGAGGAGGAGAAGGAGGAGGAGGAGGAGGAAGAGGAGAAGGAGGAGGAGGAGGAGGTGCCAGAGGACGGAGCAGCATGCAGGATGACGGCCAGGAGATTTCGAAAACTTCCGAACACCTATTTTGACGGAAAGCGGGTTTTGGGGAGGAGAAGGCGCGCGGCAACGAGGTAGAACATATATCGGTGGCGTCCCTCATGCAGAAGCCTACAGCAGGAGGAAGGACGAGGACGACGAGGGAGGAGGACGACGAGGAAGGAGAACGAAGGGGGAGGAGGACGATTGGGGAGGAGGAGGACGATTAGGACGAGGATGAAGGAGCACGACGACGACGACGACGACGACGACGACGACGACGACGACGACGACGACGACGACGGAGGACGAGGAGGACGGAAACCGACGACGGATCAGGACGAGGAGGACGAGGAGGGAGGAGGGCGACGGGGGAGGAGGACGAGGGGGAGGAGAACAAACGACGAGGGAGGAGGACGAGGAGGGACGAGGATAATATGCAGGGGGATTTGAGCACGACCACGAGCGGGCCCTCGCGCGGGCCACCGCGCGCGGGCCACAGCGCGCGGGCCACGGCGCGCGGGGTCTCGAGCACGACCGCGAGCAGCGGCGCACGACGGCCGACACTGGACCATTGGAATTCATCCAAGAACCTCCCCCAAAAAACCTTCCCCGGGGCCGCACCAGGATTTATCCAAAAACCTACCTGGGGCCACCCCGGGTTTCATCCAAAAACCGCCTCCGGGGGTGGCCCAGGTTTCTTCCGAAAACTGCCCCCTGGGGGCCGCCGGAACGAAAGTCAAAAACAAGTAACATTATCCCGGCACAGCAACCTAACAGCGATGTGTAGGAGCATATCTGGAAGCATTCCCTTTAATATTCAGATGAGAATCCACTTGTAGAATTCTGCTGTTCTCGCAGTCGTAGTCGCATTCGCGATGACAGTCGCAGTGGCAACGGCAGTCGCAGTCACAGCCTCAGCCTGCATCAGCCTCAGCCTCAGCCTCAGCCTGCCTCAGCATCAGCCTGCCTCAGCCTCAGCCTCAGCCTGCCTCAGCCTCAGCCTCAGCCTGCTTCAGCCTCAGCCTCAGTCTGCCTTCAGCCTCGGCCTCAGCCTCAGCCTGCCTCAGCATCAGCCTGCCTCAGCCTCAGCCTCAGCCTGCCTCAGCCTCAGCCTCAGCCTGCCTTCAGCCTCAGCCTCAGTCTGCCTTCAGCCTCGGCCTCAGCCTCAGCCTGCCTCAGCCTCAGCCTGCATCAGCCTCAGCCTCAGCCTCAGCCTGCCTCAGCATCAGCCTGCCTCAGCCTCAGCCTCAGCCTGCCTCAGCCTCAGCCTGCTTCAGCCTCAGCCTCAGTCTGCCTTCAGCCTCGGCCTCAGCCTCAGCCTGCCTCAGCCTCAGCCTGCATCAGCCTCAGCCTCAGCCTCAGCCTGCCTCAGCATCAGCCTGCCTCAGCCTCAGCCTCAGCCTCAGCCTGCCTCAGCCTCAGCCTGCTTCAGCCTCAGCCTCAGTCTGCCTTCAGCCTCGGCCTCAGCCTCAGCCTGCCTCAGCCTCAGCCTGCATCAGCCTCAGCCTCAGCCTCAGCCTGCCTCAGCCAGCCTGCCTCAGCCTCAGCCTCAGCCTGCCTCAGCCTCAGCCTCAGCCTGCTTCAGCCTCAGCCTCAGTCTGCCTTCAGCCTCGGCCTCAGCCTCAGCCTGCCTCAGCCTCAGCCTGCATCAGCCTCAGCCTCAGCCTGCCTCAGCATCAGCCTGCCTCAGCCTCAGCCTCAGCCTGCCTCAGCCTCAGCCTCAGCCTGCTTCAGCCTCAGCCTCAGTCTGCCTTCAGCCTCGGCCTCAGCCTCAGCCTGCCTCAGCCTCAGCCTGCATCAGCCTCAGCCTCAGCCTCAGCCTGCCTCAGCATCAGCCTGCCTCAGCCTCAGCCTCAGCCTGCCTCAGCCTCAGCCTGCCTCAGCCTCAGCCCTCAGCCTGCTTCAGCCTCAGCCTCAGTCTGCCTTCAGCCTCGGCCTCAGCCTGCCTCAGCCTCAGCCTGCATCAGCCTCAGCCTCAGCCTCAGCCTGCCTCAGCATCAGCCTGCCTCAGCCTCAGCCTCAGCCTGCCTCAGCCTCAGCCTCAGCCTGTTCAGCCTCAAGTCTGCCTTCAGCCTCGGGCAGCAGCCTGCCTCAGCCTCAGCAAGCCTCAAAGCCTGCCTCAGCCTCACCTCAGAAGCCTCAGTCTGCCTAGCCTCGGCCTCAGCCTCAGGCCTCAGCGGGCATTCAAAGCATCAGCCTGGAAATGTTCAGCATTAGGCCTTGGCCTGCCTCAGCATTCAAATGTGGCCCGGGAATGGAGTTCTGGGAACTCGAAGACCACGAAGTGGCCTACAGTTGGCTCCGGGCATTCAAAATCATGCCCAGGAATGGAGTTCTGGGATTACTGTTGGTTAAAAATGGAGTCCCCGGATTCCCGCGGCACCCGTCCAGCATCTGCCCAGACCCCCCTGAGGAGTCAAGATGTTTTCTTTTGAGCCCACTAGAAACCTTTCAGTCTTCGCTGTTAGGTAAACAATTGTTCCAAAACAATTCATTCAAAAATTGCTCCAAAAACTCATCCAATGTTTAACACAGTTTTCGACAGTTTTGGATGCGTTTTTGAATTTGGTTTTCCATAGGTTTCCGGGGGGTCTGCGGGCGTCCTCTGGCAGTCGGCTCCGCAGGAGGGCTCGCTGCGACACGCCGCCAGCACCTGTGGCGAGCACGCTCAGCCGCCGGACCCCCTGGAGCCTCCTACAGGCTGCCTCCAGGTCGCCCGCAGCCTCCCAGGCCCCTCGAGACCCACCCAGACCGCCAAGGGAATTCCGAGGGCTTCCGAGTAGTCACCATGTGGCCGTCATGACTCGGAGAGCCCGCTAGAGCCTTCAGGAACGCCCCGGTTCTCCCAGCGTCCCACGGCGCCGAACTGGAGCCCGGGCGAACCCCCTCAGGCCTCTTTAAGCGTCCCGCGACCTTGGAGGCCTTCCGCAAGCACCAACGCGTCGCCGAGCCTACGTGATCGGCGCGAAGCCTGCGCGCTGTCCTGCGCCGCGAGGGCATCCTGGGAGCCCCGCGGGCCCGGCCACCTGGGCGGCCGAGCGTGGCTTGTCGCTGTATCTGGGGCGCGGCCACCGGGGCCTCCAGGAAGCGACACCCACATCTGGCCGTGGAGTTCCACGGAGGCTTCTGGATGTCGCCGTCGCCGCCGACGTCGTCGCCGCCGGGGGCCATTGAAGGCCCCCAGAGGCTGCCTGTGCGCTTCGGAAGGAGTGGGGATCGTTTTCATCTTCTGCTCCAGGGCCCGAGCAGAGCGGTCACTTGGGCGCCGCACGCCGCGCCCCTTCGACGCGGTTGCGAACGATTGCAGGGCCTCCGGCCGCCATTGCAGCTGTCTCCGAGGGCCCCACGAATGACCAGGCCTCTTCGGCCCAGTCTATGGCCGCACCGTCGGTGCAGAGCCAACGGCGGAAGACATGTTTCAGTCTGGCGCACCAGAAGTTCGCGTTGTTGACGGCCACGTCGTCGGTGTATGTCTCCGCGTTAAGAGTAATGGTGCGATGCATCCTCGTGGCCCAGCAGCAATGTGACGCCGGCCCTGCTCGCACCTGTCCATGGTTGGCATCGCGCGCGGCCCCGAGGTGCTCGAGCATCCAGCGCACTCCGCGGATCGACATGTAGAAGGGGTCCCCGACGTCCCCGACGGCATTGACCACGTGATCTCGAGCGTTCCATTACTCGAACAGCGCGTCGTCCGCAATGTGTTCCCTCACCTGCACGGCCGTGTCGAAGTCGCGACTGCCCGAAGCGGGCGAGCGGTGAGACGCTATCGGTTTTCGTGTTCTTGGTCGTCGGCGACGTGGTGTCGCTGATGCGAAGCACATCCCGTGCAGAGCAGGCCGTGTTGTTGGCAGCGGGCCGCGCGACCTTGCGTAGGAAAAGATTGGACGACAACGTTCTGCATGCTGGTCAGATATGACCTCCGTCCGCGGCCGAGGCTCGTCGTGGCCAGGAGCAGAAACTTCTCGCCCCTCGCTCCGCGCTCCGTCAGGCAGCGCAATAGCCAAGCGCCCGACCCCTAGAGGAAGCCGGGGGGGGGGAGGGGAGGGGGGGGGGGAAGGGGGGGAAGGGGGGAAGTCCCAGAGGGGGGACGGGGCGGAGGAGAGGGGGGCGTTGCGGCCAGACCGCGGAATCCCATAGGGCAAAGGAAATAAGGATATTCAGAATAATAATCATATTCTTAATACTAATACTAGTAACAATACTACGACGAACACTAGTGATACGAATGATAATAGTAATTCTAGTACTACGGATACGAAGAATAATACATACAAAATAATAGCAATAATAAGGGAGGAGGAGGAGGAGCGGGAGGAGGAGGAGGAGGAGGAGGAAGAGGAGGAGGAGGAGGAGGAGGAGCGGACGGGGGCAGCAGGAGGAGCCCCCCCCGCGCCACAGGACCGCCACCAGATGAACTGGGAAGGCGGCACGGAGGCGGCCGCCGCGCGCCGCTCGCCGCGCTTTTCGCCCCCCCCCCCCCCCCCCCCCCCTCCCCCCCCCCTCCCCCCCTTCCCCCCTCCACCCCCCTGCTTGGAGGGGCTGCCCGAACGCCGCGCGGAGAGCGCGCTTCGCGAGGCTTCTCGCCTGCGCGTTTGCGTGCTCCCGCGAGGGCGGCGGGTCTCCTGCCTCGGAGGAGGAAGAGGCAGTTGTCGGCACTGCGACCCTTGCCTCGTTTTTCCCTGTGTGGGGGCCTCCCTGGGATGCCCTCGTCGCCACCGCTGGATTTGCCTCGAAATCCTCGTCAGGACGCGCCCTGGGAGAGGGCCGGGGAGTAGCGGTATAGGTACCGTTTCGTTTCCCCGCTGACACCCAGCTGAATAAGATGAAGACAGAGTTTCTGTTTACGGTGGGGGTGTTGGTTAAGGAGTGTGCCCAGGAGGGTTCGGCGCCTGGGTAACGCCTTATGTAATGATGGCGGCGGTGAGATCCATGGCCACTCCACGATTGGAGTTGTACAGGCTTCCAGACCCTGGATTCCTTATCCAATACTTTCTTTTCCGATGCCCTCACCGAACCGTCCTTGGCCCCGCAGAGATAAAGTCGAGACGTCCGATGTTTGGGTTGGGTCTCCGTTGTCCCGCGAGGCCCGCAGTACAGTCGGGGGCGGGTGGGGGGCGGCCAACGGGGGGTGATGACCACCGGCGGGTCATGGCCAGGGCCACGGGGTCTCCCCGCATTTCATGGCCCCCTCTTCTTCTTTGGATGCGCCCCCTGATCTCCCCCTCCGCGCACATGGCCTCCGGCCATGATTTGCGACCCCCCCTCTCCCGAGCCCCCCTCCTGGGCGCCCCGACTGCCACCACCGCAGGCAGCAGCGGCAGCGCCTCGGGTCCCCAGGTCTCGCCCCAGGGACGCAGGGATGACCCCGCCTCGCGCGCCGCGGCGGGGGCCGCCGAGCTGGCCTCTTCTGTGGGGGGGGATGCGGCGCGACTGCGCGCGCATGTCGCGCACGACGGGGCGCGATGCGCGAAATCAGGCGGCAGAGGTCCCTCCCTGCGCTCCACGCGATGGCCGCAACGCAGCGGTCCTCTGCTCGGGGGCAGCGCGCTGTTCACTGGAGGGAGGGGGGAGGAACTATGCTGCAAGGGGGGGGATCGGCCCGCTCGCGCCAACGAGCTCGCTGGGGGTGTTCGGTAGGTTCTCGTCGTGTCGACGCGGCGGCGACCCTCGCGCGGGTGTTGAAGGTTGAACGCCGTCAGTGGCCTGGAGACGGCCGATACCAAAGGATCTGCGCGTCAGTCAAGACGCTGAGATGAGGATCGCTCTTGGGCTCTGGAGCGGAAGGGGCTCGGGTTTTCGGGCTGTTAGACCTGGCCCGGCACAGAAACGGAAAGAGCGCTTCAGAATCTTGACTGAAATTATTCACACCACCGTTCGTGCTGGGAGCCTTGGCGTTGAGAGCTTGTGACGTCACCCCTCGCTCTTGGGAGCCTTGGTGTTCAGAGATTGTTGCGTTGCCGCCCGTTCCTGAGCCTTGGCTGGGCCTTGGTGTCAGGAATTGGTCTTATCAGCTAGTTTACATCACCTTTCGCTCTTGGGAGCCTTGGTGTGAAGAGCTTTTTGCGTTACCGATCGCTATTTATTTGGCGTCTCTGGGCCTTCTTGGGAGTCCTATTGCGGCCCTTTTGGATCCCTCTTGGGGGCCTCTTGGGGGCCTCTTGAGGCTTCTTGGAGGGCTCTTGGGGCCTCCTGGGAGCGTCTTGGGGCGAAAGGCTAGACTTTTCGGTTCGTGGTCCCCCTCTTGGGTCCGTCTTGGGGCCCTCTTGGGCCGTCTTGGGCGCCTCTTGGGCCGTCTTGGGGCCCTCTTGGGCCGTTTTGGGGTCCTCTTGGGACCCTGTTGGGCCGTCTTGGGGCGGTCTTGGGGGCCTCTTGGGCCGTCGTCAACGCCGTGAAAGCCGACAAGCCGTGTATGCTAAAACTGTACGTTTACCCATCGGAATTCAATGATTTTGGCCTCTTGGGGTCCTCTTGGGGCAACCAGTGTTTGGGGTATGGTTCCGCCCTGTTGCGCCCCCCAAGCGTGTCCGTAGGGCGGGCCCGGCGTATCGCCTGAGACGTCCCAACCGTTTATGACCTTGAAGCTTAACAGTTTGCAGCAGTTGCACGGATGGAGGGTGGGCGGTTTTTAACCTGTGCCTCTCGCTGTAGCGCCGTGCACATGTGCTTTACATGTGTGCAAGAGCTTCACCGATGGAGGGCGGTTCTTTTTCAAAATGTGGTTCTCGCCCCAGCGCCGCGCGCGCTCGTTTCAAAAGATTGCCGCAGTTTCAGGGTTCGTAGGGTTGACGTTCCAGGAAGTGTGTTTTCACACGATTTAAAATAGCCAGGGCGCAACAGTCACGTCCATTCGCGGTGTTGAGTCCCAGGAGTGGTGTTCTTGCGCGATTCAGGATCGTCCAGGCGCAGCAGTAAAGTTGATTCGCAGCGTTAACGTTCCAGCAGGTGCGTTTTTACACGATTCTGGATTCTCGGGTGGTTATCTTCAAACGGGAACTTCCTGCAGTGATAATCAATTCTTGTATGGGGCCTATGGAGAGGGAACTTGGGGGGCGGGTTTAGTGCAACATCGGTAATGCGTCTTGGGTTCACACTGGTCCTCCTCCCCCTCTTCTCAGATCCGGGCGGCGCAGGAGCAATTGCGGCTGGGCTGTTTTTCATTGTTTTCGGCCTTTGGAGGCCATGTCTCGGCGCTGCGGCTCCAAAAACCACTCGGGATGGAAATCCGGCCCATGGGAAATGGTCGATGGCCTGGGTCGCCGACGCCACGCGCACTGTGCGACGTCGGAGGAGAGGGGCCCTGGGAGGGGTGTCGAGACCGCCCAGGGCAACCCTGGGCCCTGGGGGCCTGCCGAGGCCAGCCTGGACTGCCTCTGGCCTGGGGGCTGTCCGTGTGCCAGCGACGCCCGGGGAGCGATCCTTAGAGCTTGGCACCCGTAGTGCACCACGCACGAGGCAGGGGCTCTTCCGAGCAGAGGAATACCTTCAGGCATGCTTCCCCTCAGGGAAGCGCGTCCTCCTGAGGCCAAGGTGAGAGGCAGGCTTTGGGGTGCACCCTCGAGAAGCGGTGGCCCCTAAGAGCTGCTCCTCTGCTCGCGCTCTTGCCCGTCGCCAAAGGCCAGGCAGGCCTGGGATGAAAACAAACCATTCCAGAGCGTTTCGGGCGCTCTTAGAGCGTTCTGGAGCGCTCTGGAACCGCTGCGGCGCCCGATATACATCCTACACACCCGCTGGCTCTCACATATTCCTGATTCGTCCTCGTCCGATCATCCTGCCTTCGTCTCCAAGGGGGGAAGGGCGGGCCAGAGAGGGCGTGTGTCGTGGGCGGGAAACGTGTCCATATCCACTGCCTCGCGTGCCGGGCCCCTGCGCCGCGTGCCCGTGAATAGGAGGTGTTTCTTCGCGGATGCCCCACACGGAACGTATCCATACGACCTTGCGTCCCTGGGATCCACGCGTGGACACGGATATGCCCGCCGCTCCTGATTGAATGCAGGGGGCGAGAGCGATCCGCCTCCGATGCCTCCACAGAGCCAGCCCCCCTCCTGCCCACCAGCCGCGGCCTTGCCGCCGGACTTCGCAGGCCGAGCACATCGAGGCGATGAAGAACAAGATCTCCCTCCAGAAGGCCGATGTCGAGAGGACGAAGAAGGCGCACCACTTTCCCGTGCGCGCCTCCTCCGCTTCCTGATTCCCCGACCCCCCCTTTCTCTCCCTCCTCCTCGTTATCCTCCTCGTGATCCTCCTCGTGATCCTCCTCGTCATCCTCGTCATCTTCTCGCTCTTCTCTTCTTTCTCATCCCTCCCCCACCCCTCCCCCATGTAAGGTGCGACCCCCTCCCTCGCAGGGCCGTGCGATTCGGTGGGGGGCGGCGGGCTGACAGGAGAGGGGAGGCGGCGGCGCGGGGTGGCGACCGCGCAGGAGGCTTCCGATGGGCTGTAGGAGAGCTCCGCATTCCGCCGTGCTCGGCAAGCCTCGGTCCCGGGCGGGGGGCGGCCGCGCGGTCGCACAGCGTCTCCTTCCGCGAGGGAAGCCGAGGGGTCACGTCGGGCGGTCGACGGCACAGGAGGGAGGCAGGGAGGGGGGTAGCCAGGAGGTGGTGAGGGGGGAGGGGGAGGTTTTCTTGACAGCAGCAGCCTCAGACCCCAAGCCAATGGAGTAACTCGAAGGAGGCCATGCCGAACACCATGAGCACGCAGGACGGCAAGCGAACACGGCACGACCCAGCGATGCAGAAGGGCAAGACGTGCCATGCCGTGAGGAGGAGGAGAAAGAAAGGGGGAGACGTCGGATGTGGGAGCGAAGCGGGCCGGGCCACGCTGCTCGAGCCCAGCCGGTGCAGCAGGCCGAGGTGGTCACTCGGCTGAGTCCGGGCTTCGCTCCGAGCCGAAGGCTCGTGACCGCCCCGCCCCTCTTCGGCCAAGAGCCGGACGACTCCACCACACCTACGACCCGCCGTATTGAATGTCGGCGGCCTGGCCGCGTACTCGCTTCGGGGATGCCTCGTGACCCACAACGGCACGATGGCGACCGCGCTCGGCAGAGGCCTCTGCTGCGCACCAGGAGGATGCGTCAGCGAAGCGGGCGGGAGACGCGGGGTGACCGAGGCGTCGCACCACAGGTAAGCGTGGCAAGTTTCGGCTCGCTCGGGCTACCATGTTTTTTGTTGGTGTGTTCTTCGTACATGTGATGCGCGTCGTCCAGGCCGCCGCGCGCAATCCTGATGTAAGTCGGGTAGAGTCTGTGTTTTCGAGCTCAAGGATCTCAACACTCACGCACACATTGCTTGTTCATAATATATTAACCTCCGTGAAACGTAGCATGCAATCTGTACCGGCGTGCTTGTAGCATTACTTTGGCACTCCTGTGCGTTTTCTGTGCCATCGTGTATGGCCCGTAGCCCTCCCGCTGCCATGGAGCCATGGAGGGGGCTGGAGAAGTGTTGGTTCCAGCGCTCATTGCCGGACCCTCCCTTTGAAACTTTCTTTTCGGGGTGGGGAGCCCTCGTGTTCATTGGGAAGCTCCCTTTTCGAACGCATTCAAAATCTATGAGTCGCTGGCAGGTAGCCGCAGCTGCTGGCCAGCTTCTCCCGCCGAGAAGCCTTGACCGCCTTGATAATTTTCATTGATTCATGTAGATCCCCCTCCGCCAGGCTGATGAGAGCTGTGATGCTGGTGACAGTCAGAGTAACGACATGCATTAGCCATGATTTGGTTTCGAGGTTAGCACACGCTACGCTTCGGGGTGGGGCGACAGGCCCAGAACGCCCACGAGGGCCAACACTGAGGCCCAGGACGGGCCGAATATGCTTCCCCAGGCGGGTCTGGCGCTGTTTCAGCGCACTGGTTCCTTCATACGCGCTGCGGTTTTGGTGCCTGTCAAATCGGTTGGGATCGAATCGTAGGGGGCGCGCTCATGAATTAAGCCAATGCCAGACGATGATGACGGCCATATTGCGAAGGCCTTACGGCCCGTGCCGCCGACCCTGAAGGGGGACGACGACGACGACGGCAGCTGCGACGTCGATGGCGACGCTGACGCTCTGGAGCCTTTCGTGGGCATTCTTGGGAGCCTCTTGGGCCCTGTTGGGGGGCCTCATGGGCCACTTCGTGGGAAGCTCCGCTGTCATTCGGAGCCCCCTTGGAGCGGATCTGCGGCCTCTTGACAGACCATGATGACGGCCGTATGTACGAAAACGACGAAATTGCCGAGCGTCGAAAACGAGTGCCCCGTGACAGCACGCGCGAGGGCTTCCTGTGCGCTCTGGCTCCTCCCTGCAAGAGGTGCATTGCTGGGCGAACCTTTCAGAAATGGGCTTGCCAGCAAGAGGAAGAGGCTTCATCTTCCCCACAGGAAGACGGCAGACGTGCCCCCATGTTTCTCATAGCAAGAGTTCTTGTCGTAGGTGTCAACTGTGCTGTTTCTGCCCCCCCCAATCTCGTAGAGGGCATCCTGAGACGCTGGCATCATGACATCGCTCTCGCCCCATCCTCCCCGACTCCCCCCCTGGCCCCCGCCGCCGCCGTCGCTAGTAGTAGCACGATGGCTGTACCTTCCAGAGTGCATCCTGAGCCGATGCCGTTACGACATCGCTCTCGCCCCCAATCCTCCCCGACTCCCCCCGTCTGGCCCCCGCTGTGCCTGGCGGGCAGCCTCCGCCGACGGCCGCCCCGCACGTCTTCGAAGAGCTACGCCGCCGCCGCTGCCGCCGACGTCGTCGTCGTCGGCGGCGGCGGCGCCGGCGGCGTCGTCGTCTTTGTCATCTTTTTCCTCGCTTGCTCATTGTCCCTTTTGTTAATTTTTCCGTGTCGTCGCCGCCGTCGTCGTCGTCGTCGTCGTCGTCGTCGTCGTCGTCGTCCTCGTCGTCGTCACCGTCGTCGTCGTCGTATTCGTCGTCGTCGTCGTCGTCGTCGTCGTCGTCGTCACCGCCGTCTGTTCCGCGTCGCCGTTTTTTCCGCGTCGTCGTCGTCTGTTTTGCTGTTACCCTTCTTCGTAGTTCTTTTCGCCGTCGTCCTGCGCCCTCTGAGAGGGCTGGCCGCCCCCCCCTCCCCCCGAAAGCGGGGCGGCGAGCCGCCCCACTGGGGGTCCCCCCCAGGAGCTGATGGCCGCGAGGAACCGGCAGCAGCCCCGGCCGGGGGCCCCAGGAGAAGGCGCGCCCCCAGCCAGGGTGTCCAAGCCTGCCGCCCTCTAGTTGGAACCCCTCCTCCTCTTTCTCGTCTCCTCCTCCCTCCTCCTCCTCCTCCTCCTCCTCCTCCTCCTCCTCGTCCTCCTCGTCCTCCTCCTCCTCCTCCATCATCATCATCATCATCATCATCATTATCATCATCATCATCATCATCATCATCATCATCATCATCATCATCATCATCATCATCATCATCATCATCATCATCATCATCATCATCATCATCATCATCATCATCATCCCTCCTCCTCCTCCTCCTCCTCCTCCTCCTCCTCCTCCTCCTCCTCCTCCTCCTCCTCTTCCGCCTCCTAGTCCTCGTAAGGCGCGCCACCGCCCAGGGGGGGTGGGCTCTTCCAGGTCGGGCGACAGCTGGTCTGTCGCTGTTTTCGGCCTCTGGGGCCCTCTTCCTGGCCTTGGGGCCAGAGGTCGAGATCCCTGGGGCTGACGTTACGAAACTACTGCAGCGTCCGGAGAGGGCAGACCCAGGCATCAAAAGGTCTTGAAAGCTCACCGTGCTTCATCGTGTGGATGTGTAGTCCGAACTTATCCACACCGACGGCGCAGATCCATCGCCGACGTCGCCGATGCATCGCCGATGCACTGTCGATGCATCGCCGATGTATCGCCGATGCGGTGCGATCCTCCGACACCATTTATTCGGACCCGATCTAGGAGGCCTCTGAGGTGTAAGGGTATGACGAGCGGAGATCACGAGATCTGCTGCCTGCAGTCTGTTTCGGCTCCGCCGCTGGGCGCTCTACTCGATGCATTAGCGCCCATGGCGCTGGGAGGCGCTGGAGAAATCGGGTCCGTGAGCCGACTCGGAAGCCCCCCCTTTGCTGCCCCCCCCTTCGTCCGCCCCGACGGCGGTCCTAGTCTCCGGGGTGTGCGAGCCTCCGCGCCTTGCGCCCTCCAGTTGGAACCTCTCCTCCTTATCCTCCTCGTCTCCTCCTCCTCATTCTCCTCCTCTTCCTCCCCCTCCTCCTCCTCCTCCTCCCTCCTCCTCCTCCTCCTCCTCCTCCTCCTCCTCCTCCTCCTCCTCCTCCTCCTCTTCCTCTTCCTCTTCCTCTTCCTCCTTGTGCGGTGGCGGCCATCGCGCGGACTGACAGCGCGGCCGCTCCCAGGCAGTGTCATATCCTCTTCCTCCTTGTCTGCTCCTCCTTGTCTCCTCCTCCATCCCCTTTCTTAATGAATAACTCCTCCCTGTCGCACAGTGCACCCCCAGACGTGTTCGTAGGGCGGGCGGGGCGTTTCGCTTGAGACTTCCTCGCCATGTATGATCCCGAAACCTGAAATGTGCAACAATATCACGGGTAGAGGGCGGGTGGTTTCAAATTGTTTAGCGCCGCGCACATTCGTCTCAAACGTTTGCAGCAGTTTCCAGAATGGAGGGCGGTTGTTTTTCAACATGTGGTTCTCGCCTTGGCGCCGAGCACTTTCGTTTCAAAGTTCACAACAGTTCCAAGGGTTCGTATTGTCGAAATCCCAGGAAAGTCACAGGAAAGGTGGCCTGGCACGGTTCTAGGATTGTCAGGGCGCAACAGTCGCGTTGATCCGGGGCGTTGAAGGCCCAGCATCGGCGCTTTCGCACGACTGAGGATTCTCAGACGGTTGTCTTCCAACGGGTTTTTTTCCCGCATTGAAAAGAATTCTTGCAAGAACCTAGGAAGAGGGAACTTGGAGGGAGGGTTTATTTCAACATCGCTGATGCGTCTTAGGTTTGCACTGGTCCTCCTCCTCCTCCTCCTCCCCCTCCTCCTCCTCCTGGCCCTCTTCCGCCGGGGGATGTCAGGGGCAACGTTGGGGGGGGGGGGAGGGGGGAGAGGCTCAGGGCTCTGGGAGGCGCATCGGCCGCCAATAGCCCTGTCATCGCCGACAAGGGCCCGACAGCCCACCCCGCCCAGGAGCGGGCGGTCTCGCTGTCGGGGGCCTCAGGGTCCATTGGTCGGCGATGTATCGCCAGTTCA